ACGTTTAAAGTGACCTTGACCTTGACCTATGACCTTGACCTCGGATTTTTTCGAATGTGCTACTGCTTCTCGATGAGACGAACACAGTGGTGGCCGAAATTTTTAAATCAGACCATAAACAAAGATTCTACAGGGTACGGGGACTAAAATTAACGTTTAAAGTGACCTTGACCTTGACCTATGACCTTGACCTCGGATTTTTTCGAAGGTGCTACTGCTTCTCGATGAGACGAACACAGTGGTGGCCGAAATTTTCCGATAGCTCCAAAAATGAAGATTTTATAGGGTACGGCGATTTTAAAGTGACCTTGACCTTGACCTATGACGTTGACCTCGGATTTTTTCGAATGTGCTACTGCTTCTCGATGAAACGAACACAGTGGTGGCCGAAATTTTCAAATCGGACCATAAACAAAGATTCTACAGGGTACGGGGACTAAAATTAACGTTTAAAGTGACCTTGACCTTGACCTATGACCTTGACCTCGGATTTTTTCGAATGTGCTACTGCTTCTCGATGAGACGAACACAGTGGTGGCCGAAATTTTTAAATCGGACCATAAACAAAGATTCTACAGGGTACGGGGACTAAAATTAACGTTTTAAGTGACCTTGACCTTGACCTATGACCTTGACCTCGGATTTTTTTGAATGTGCTACTGCTTCTCGATGAGACGAACACAGTGGTGGCCGAAATGTTGAAATCGGACCATAAACAAAGATTCTACAGGGTACGGGGACTAAAATTAACGTTTAAAGTGACCTTGACCTTGACCTATGACCTTGACCTCGGATTTTTTCGAAGGTGCTACTGCTTCTCGATGAGACGAACACAGTGGTGGCCGAAATTTTCCGATAGCTCCAAAAATGAAGATTTTATAGGGTACGGCGATTTTTAAAGTGACCTTGACCTTGACCTATGACGTTGACCTCGGATTTTTTCGAATGTGCTACTGCTTCTCGATGAAACGAACACAGTGGTGGCCGAAATTTTCAAATCGGACCATAAACAAAGATTCTACAGGGTACGGGGACTAAAATTAACGTTTAAAGTGACCTTGACCTTGACCTATGACCTTGACCTCGGATTTTTTCGAATGTGCTACTGCTTCTCGATGAGACGAACACAGTGGTGGCCGAAATTTTCAAATCGGACCATAAACAAAGATTCTACAGGGTACGGGGACTAAAATTAACGTTTAAAGTGACCTTGACCTTGACCTATGACCTTGACCTCGGATTTTTTCAAATGTGCTACTGCTTCTCGATGAGACGAACACAGTGGTGGCCGAAATTTTCCGATAGCTCCAAAAATGAAGATTTTATAGGGTACGGCGATTTTAAAGTGACCTTGACCTTGACCTATGACCTTGACCTCGGATTTTTTCGAATGTGCTACTGCTTCTGGATGAGACGAACACAGTGGTGGCCGAAATTTTCCGATAGCTCCAAAAATGAAGATTTATAGGGTACGGCGATTTTTAAAGTTACCTTGGCCTTGACCTATGACCTTGACCTCGGATTTTTTTTTTTAATGTGCTACTGCTTCTCGATGAGACGAACACAGTGGTGGCCGAAATTTTTAAATCGGACCATAAACAAAGATTCTACAGGGTACGGGGACTAAAATTAACGTTTAAAGTGACCTTGACCTTGACCTATGACCTTGACCTCGGATTTTTTCGAAGGTGCTACTGCTTCTCGATGAGACGAACACAGTGGTGGCCGAAATTTTCCGATAGCTCCAAAAATGAAGATTTTATAGGGTATGGCGATTTTTAAAGTGACCTTGACCTTGACCTATGACGTTGACCTCGGATTTTTTCGAATGTGCTACTGCTTCTCGATGAAACGAACACAGTGGTGGCCGAAATTTTCAAATCGGACCATAAACAAAGATTCTACAGGGTACGGGGACTAAAATTAACGTTTAAAGTGACCTTGACCTTGACCTATGACCTTGACCTCGGATTTTTTCGAATGTGCTACTGCTTCTCGATGAGACGAACACAGTGGTGGCCGAAATTTTTAAATCGGACCATAAACAAAGATTCTACAGGGTACGGGGACTAAAATTAACGTTTAAAGTGACCTTGACCTTGACCTATGACCTTGACCTCGGATTTTTTGAATGTGCTACTGCTTCTCGATGAGACGAACACAGTGGTGGCCGAAATTTTTAAATCGGACCATAAACAAAGATTCTACAGGGTACGGGGACTAAAATTAACGTTTAAAGTGACCTTGACCTCGGATTTTTTCAAATGTGCTACTGCTTCTCGATGAGACGAACACAGTGGTGGCCGAAATGTTGAAATCGGACCATAAACAAAGATTCTACAGGGTCCGGGGACTAAAATTAACGTTTAAAGTGACCTTGACCTTGATCTACGACCTTGACCTCGGATTTTTTCAAATGTGCTACTGCTTCTCGATGAGACGAACACAGTGGTGGCCGAAATTTTCAAATCGGACCATAAACAAAGATTCTACAGGGTACGGGGACTAAAATTAACGTTTAAAGTGACCTTGACCTTTACCTATGACCTTGACCTCGGATTTTTTCGAATGTGCTACTGCTTCTCGATGAGACGAACACAGTGGTGGCCGAAATTTTCAAATCGGACCATAAACAAAGATTCTACAGGGTACGGGGACTAAAATTAACGTTTAAAGTGACCTTGACCTTGACCTATGACCTTGACCTCGGATTTTTTCGAATGTGCTACTGCTTCTCGATGAAACGAACACAGTGGTGGCGGAAATTTTCAAATCGGACCATAAACAAAGATTCTACAGGGTACGGGGACTAAAATTAACGTTTAAAGTGACCTTGACCTTGACCTATGACCTTGACCTCGGATTTTTTCGAATGTGCTACTGCTTCTCGATGAGACGAACACAGTGGTGGCCGAAATTTTCAAATCGGACCATAAACAAAGATTCTACAGGGTACGGGGACTAAAATTAACGTTTAAAGTGACCTTGACCTTGACCTATGACCTTGACCTCGGATTTTTTCGAATGTGCTACTGCTTCTCGATGAGACGAACACAGTGGTGGCCGAAATTTTTAAATCGGACCATAAACAAAGATTCTACAGGGTACGGGGACTAAAATTAACGTTTAAAGTGACCTTGACCTTGACCTATGACCTTGACCTCGGATTTTTTCGAATGTGCTACTGCTTCTCGATGAGACGAACACAGTGGTGGCCGAAATTTTCCGATAGCTCCAAAAATGAAAATTTTATAGGGTACGGCGATTTTTAAAGTGACCTTGACCTTGACCTATGACCTTGACCTCGGATTTTTTTTAATGTGCTACTGCTTCTCGATGAGACGAACACACTGGTGGTCGAATTTTTCAAATCGGACCATAAACAAAGATTCTACAGGGTACGCAGTATTTTGACCTCTCAAGGTCAAACGGTTTGACCTAGGAAAAAAAGGTCACCATTTTCGAACTCAGCGTGCCATGGGCTATCTGTATGCCAATTTTGAGCGAAATCATTACTCGAATTTGAATCCGAATACGAATACGACGCTAACTTTATGGACATCCCTGCAATGGCATCGTTGCCCTTCCCCGAACGCTGTTGTGGGTCATGGTCAGAAGGTCCGTCGAATAATGGGATGCCTTGACATACCGCCAACAGAATGTGACGATCGGAGACTAGTAACGAAATGCGGCGACCCAGTTTTGCTGCAGTGTCGAGTTTTTCATGCACTGAAAGGGCGAAAAACCAGGCTCGATGACGCTCAATGCCCAATGATAACAAAAAGGTTAAATACCATTAGTCCGGGCGCACGGAATGGACATTACACGAAAGATGGACCAACAAAAAAAAAATGACAGCCACAAATTTTATTTTTCGTTTAAAATTGGTCTGAGGGGTTGTGATGGGAATACGAATTGGGATTTTCCGTTAGGACTGAAAGATGTCAGCCAATTCGATTCTCAGTCGTCACTCGTCATAATACAGTACAAACCATAAAGGGCGCACTGTATAGGTCGCACTCAAAGCTAATACCTACCTCATATCCGTATTCTCATTAGCTGCCCAAATCGGTAGCAGAATAGCGGAATTTACATTTCTTCCTGAATGGCTAGACTCCCGCTTTTGCTTGTATAAAATCGCAAACATTCTTTTCAAACTCACAGCTCTATCGATTCCTTGATTCCTTGTTTGTACTATTACGGCATCGGTGAGTTTACACGATACCGTACTAGCTTACGCAGTTCGTCCCTAGATGTCGCTAGTGATAAACGCCTGCAGTAGTATGCTGTGCCGCCGAGCTCTCAATTCCGCATCCTAGAGCCCGGCGCATGAAACTAGTTAGGCTGTGCCGCCTAGCTCGCTTTCCAGGAATGGATGTCGCGTGACGTCTAAAGCAGTGCTGTAAAGCATAGGCAATGGGACAGTGATCAAAGATGTTCTGTATTGATGGCATTTATTCGACGAGGAATCGAATGCTAAGTTATAACCATATGTTGTAATATCGAATGCAGGCATCTGAGTGGCTGACAAAATAACACCTTCTTACACCCAATGCTACTGATTTTTTTCTCGGACAAGCTGTCAGGGCCCTTCCTATCACTCAAATTCTGGCCAATCACCACACTGATGCGCGGTTGTCTACAGTGAAGGATGAACGCGGACTGGACAGTAATGTCCCACCCCACCTCATCCCCAACTGAGCCGTACCCCAAGCCCGAACCGGGGCGGGTCTTTGGCCATTGGCCACCGCTACCGAGCGAACCGATTCCTGGAACGACCTCGGGGTAACCTAGCGCCCGGGGCTGACGCGCCGGCATTGACCCCACCTTGTATAAGCATTACGTCAGGCAGGAGGGGCTGTCGGGCGCTGCTGATAAGCGTTCCTGGAACCCGGCACCTCAACACACCAACCTCCCCCCCCCCACACACACACAGCGTTTATGTGGGACATACAGCATACACTGTGCCGTTGTTCGTCGTTACCTATTTGTCTGGACAGAGTTGACATGTTCTCCATCACCCGCGCGCTCTTCACCGTATAGCTATGGGTGGACCAAAAAGGATGGAAACATTTTAAACTCGTATAAAACATGTATCATTGCATGCATGTGACTGGGAATGATACCAAACAAGAGTACATTTCGTGGAAATTCATAACGGCATCACTCTCACATGCTTTCTTTCGTTTTCAGTCTCTCACAGCAGATGTTCGAAGTGACCACCTTCGCGAGACAGGCACAGAGTGGCTGGTTTGGCTGCTGACACGATAGCCCGCTTGTATGGTTCACACAGCCTTGCTGATCGCTCTCTTCAGTTCAGAGGCTTTTTGGACCTTCATTGTAGACCTGGCCCTTTAGATGACCCCACAGTAAAACATCCATAGGGGTCAGGTCGGATGAGCAGGTAGGCCAGTTCCGACTGGCACCGCGGGATATCAGCCAGTCACCGAAGTGGTTTTCGATGCACTTGAGCGTTGTTTTTGCGATGTGAGGAGGCGCACCGTCTTGCTGGAACCACATAAGGTCTATGATGAGGCTGCCATGCTTCATTTGGACTCGCTCTCAGAACTTCCTCAGCGCCGCCTGGTATGCGCTGTTGATTGACGGTCACGGTGTCGCCGCTCCCTTCCTCGAACCAAAGTGGACCCACAATTCCTTTTCCGCTGAGGGCACACCATTTCGGTGACCTTCCTGCTGTGCAGTGACTTCTTTATCATCTCATCTCAAGGGCCAGGTCAACAAGGAAGGTCTCTGTGACCTGAAGAGAGCGATCACCAAGACTGTGTGAGCCATACCAGCGAACATGTGTCGTCGGGCTATCGCGTCAGCCACCAGACCGGCCGCTCTGTGCCTGTCTCGCGAAGGCGGTCTCTTCGAACATTTGCTCTGAGAGACTGAAAACGAGAGAAAGCAGAAGAGAGTGATGCCGTTATGAATTTCCACGAAATGTACTCTCGTTTGGCACCATTTCCAGTCACATGCACGCAATAATGCATGTTTTATGCGAGTTCAAAATGTTTCCATCCTTTTTGGTCCACCCTATATGAGTGGGGGAGAGTGGGGCAAAGCGGCCACCCGGGGCAAAGCGGCCACCCATCGTTTTAGCCCTTCATAGCTGGCGTCAGTTCAAATTTATGGTTTCCAATTATGCTTCTCTTCACGGTCGTTCGAATGAGCCAGACCGGGGTTTCAGGCCCATCACCATTGTTCTGTGAAACACGGAAAAGCATTTCTTGCCAGGTTACCAACTATGTTTACAATTTTTAAATGTTATGTTATTCCATAACCGTTTGGAATTTTTATAAGCGTTCTTGTCCATGCATTGCATGGTTATCGTACATGTATTCTACCAATTTTAATGTCTTTTACCCCACTAATAGCTAAGCTGGAATATTTTTGTCTCGGACGGTATGCGCGGGGCAAAGTGGCCGGGGCAAAGTGGCCACCCCCCAATTGGCCATAAGTTGCTTCCATCTGGATAAAAAACATTATTTATCTTCAAATGTGTCGTCATACATTCATCTTGGCCACTTTTCAGTTGCATGAGTTACCAAATAATGCAATTAAATGTTTATTTTCATGAAAATCCTTTCTTTGAAGATGATAAAGTAAACATCCATCCTCGCTTAACCTTGTCACCATCAAATACCCTAGTCGTACACGAGGCAACTATTTTGTTTCTCATATCGGGACTTGAGAAGACGCCGGTGGCCGCTTTGCCCCAGGGTATGGGGCAAAGTGGCCAATATGCATAGGTTTAAAGTTTTGTCAATATCTTTCATATGTGAACGCCTTTGGAAATAAAACGCAGTTGAAATAAAGGCAACTTAATAGGGATCACATTGGTATAGAAAGAATCTTACCAAGTTTAAAAATCAAGCGTTGGCATCGTGAGAAGCGTTAGGGTGGCCGCTTTGCCCCACTCTCCCCTGCACCGTGTATCGTTAGGTACATGATATTTACCAACCATGCTCATATAGCGCGATATATACAAACACGCGTTACCTATCACCCGGTCTGACTGCGTGCGGCGGCCCGCGCACGGTAGCCAGTCCGGCCCACCGACCGCTACTGACCCTCTGTCGGGGTGTCAATGACCGGGCATCGTGTGAGGCTCGACGCCACCGGTCGATGGTGGCTGTTTTCCTAGCCGGGTACCGCACCACATCGTTACGGTCCCAGAGACATGCTATTGGCCGCTCGGCACTGGGCCGTCGCTAATGACAGGTGAAATAGACGTGCATACTGCATAGTGAATGATCGCGCCAGCACCCGGGTTGACTGGCCGTTCCTGAGGGCTGAATGTATGGCGATTGGCGAGGAATGTCGACCGGCCACCAAAATTAAATGAGTCGGTACCTCTAAAGGTTCTAAAATACGTGTTTGTGGGGACTTACCAAATGGATGGAAATTTGAGTTTTGTCGTTACAATAGATAAGAAATTTTTGTATGAAAAATTTGGAGCTCCATAATGGAAACAAGTTATCAGGACGCGCGACTCTTAATAAAGCAGCAAGGTCCTTGCTTGGGATCTAGGCATGCGATATAGGCATATTTATTCAACACATCATGCTACAGTTGACACGAAAGCAACACACTGCATTTTTTCAAAACACTCGTGATTCCGAAATGATCCGTCAGCCGACCTCGACACATTGGCTCTCCCTGCTGCCGCCGGAGCGTTTCTTGGCCAGGCTGCGGCACGCGCCGGCCTCGGGCGCCGCCCGCTTCCTCTTCTCAGTGCTGATGCCGACATCGAGCAGGTGCAGCATCTGGTTGACGCGGTGCTGCTCGCGCTGCAGCAGCTGGTGGAGGTGCTCGGTGGTGAGCAGCGCGCGCCGCTGCCGGCGCACCTCCCGTCGCCGCCGCCGACCCGCGGCGCCCGCCTCGGCCGCCGCCGCTCCGGTCATCTCCCGCAGCAGGAAGCTGATCTTGTTCTGGTAGCGCGCCAGATCGGCGGCCACCCGCTCCTTCTCCTTCAGCACTGCGCGCATCACCAGGTTCAGTCCCTTCTGAATCTGCAGGGTCTGCTGGATCAGGTCGCGGCCGCTGCCGCTCGCCGCCGCCGCCGCCGTCGCCGCCGCCGCCGCCGTCGCCGCCGCCTGCTCGACGGCCGCCGCCGTGCCCGGCGAGTTCTCTGTGACGATGACCGGCGGCGGACGGGCGGCCGCCTCGATTACCGCCTCCTCGACAGCAGCGGGCGCCGCCGCCGCGTCGGTGACGATGACGGGACTGCTCTGCTGGGCGCCGGCCACGATCACCGGCGCGGCGCCGGCCAGTGCCGCGGCCGCCGCCTGGTTCTCGGCATCCACGATCTGCTTGGCGGCGTTCTGGGACGCGGCGCCGATCGCGGAGGCCACCGACTTCATGGCGTTGCTGGCCGCCTGGCTGGTCACGTCCATGTTCAGTTTGGCGGCTGTGGAGGCGGCTTTTGCTGCGTTTCTCGCCTCGCTTGAAGCAAGGACGGCCGCAGCCTTTTGTACCTTTTTCATAGCGGCGTGCAGTGTCTTGCTACTAGTCTTTATAATTTCATCGTCGTCATCGCCATCGTCACTTTTAGAAGATGCAGCTTCACGCTTCCTCCTGGTCCTTGACTTCATGTAGGCAATGTATTTGTCTTCTACAGCATTTACAACATTTTCGATGCCCGCTGCGATGGCCTCTTCGGCCCAGTGGAGTAAATCGGGAGTCAGGCCCTCTTTAATGTCCTCCAAAATCTCATGCCGACCCTCTTTGATGGCTGTGGTAACTTTATTATTTTTGCCCATGTTTTCGATGTCAATGTCCTCGGGATTTGGCACTATCTCTTCTATAACGACGTCTCCGTTCTTGTTTTTGGCTGATTCAATCTCGATGACCTCAGGCGTCTCTGGGGGCGTGGTTGCCACCTCGACAATCTCCTCAGCACCTGAAGGCTCAATGACTTCGACCACCTTGTCGCCCTTACTCCTTGGCCCTGGTGGCTCTATGACCTCGATGACCTTTGGCTCGGGTGGTTTGGGCGGTTTAACAACCTCTATCACTTCCTCTGATGATTCAGTCACCGGTTCTACTTCGATCACTTCCTCCTTTCCTCCTTCGACATCGATGATTTCCTCCGTCTTAGTGCCACTAGACTGCACGTCGATTACCTCTTCCTCTGGAGGAGTACCTGAGTCGCTTATCACCTCTGTGTCATCTTCATCTTCTACCTTCTTCGCTTTCCCTTCTACAACCAGGTCAGTCTCCCATTTCTTCTTCCCTTTTGGATCATTCTTGTCCTTCTTTTCTTTCACATCTACAACAACACGTGACGGTTTTTGTGGAAGTTTCTGGGACAGAACGGTTTTCTCTTTGCCCTTTCCCTTTGTAATTACCTTTGGCGTTTTCTTTACTGTTATGGGAGCCTGTAATTTTGTATTGGGTGTGTGAGATACTGTTGCTTCTTCCTCGTTTTCTTTTTTCGTTGATTTCGCATCGTCTGCGCTGATTTCTATGACTGTCGATGTTTTCATTCCCAAAGGCTGCAAACGTCAGAGAGTTCGTAATTGTACATCAAACGTTAACATCGGGTAGGTGACGCATGTGTGAAAGAATATCTGACCAATTTAACCCGCACTCGTCATGCTGAGCTCTGTCATTCTCTTTCACCACACTCTTTGAAGTTCTTGTACTATTTAGACGTGACTCTCATTTTCTAAACGGAATATTGTCACTTGCTCTAAAACGACTTATCTGGCTATGCATACGCTATCCACATTTTTAGTTCCATATTTTTGTGTGCGGAACTCTACCAATATTTCGAATTCTACATTGAGTAATTGAGCTTATTAAAACTTTTTATGGACATGTAATCATTTGAATTTGCTGCACTGCCAAGCTAACTTGAGATATTTCAAGGCAGATTTCAGACTCAGCATTCAAGAGGGATCGAACCAGACGAACAGTCAAGCAAGACACAATTAAGTTTTGAAAATGCCAACTTAAAATACTTTTCAGGTGCCTTGCAGAATAGATGGCAGATGATATTGCTTGTGACAGGCTGATTTTTATCAAAAGATGGA